TTTTAATCAAAGACTTTGGATTTTTTATAGTAAAAATCACGTTTCTTGACTATCAAGAACAAATATTTTCTCTGATACAAAATTTCGGTGTAATTCTTGATTTATTGAAAAAACCAAAATGACCCATTTTTGGGGTAAAATTTTGGTTGAGAATTTTAGAGAAACAAACTGCACCATAATAATTCTGATGAAATTCTAAGCAAATTTTGGACTCTTCACTTTTTGTCTAATCTTAATCCAATTTAGAAAATTTGTTTGAAAAATTAAGTTCGTTTCATTTTGTCCGGATAATTTAAATCAGCACTGTATATCGAAAGCAAAATTAGATCAAAGTGGAAGGCAACATTCGCAGCAGACGACATTTCGTAAGTTGGATTAAGTAGAAACTCTTATTCGACTCCAATATACCACGCATACCGAATGACAGCAAAGTGGTGCAGTGCAAGCGTTCGCTACTTGCAATCAATGCATTTTTACACATTATCACTTGTCATATTCTTTTTTGTTACGAACTGTTGCCTGTTACGAATTATCGCCTGCTTAGAAGTTTTGCTTTGTTCAAATTGGTGCCTGTTGAGAAGTTTAACCTGTTACTAATAGTCGCCGGCCACAATCTTTGCTTGGTACGAATTGTTGCATATTACAAATTTTTGCCCAATCTTTCCATCTGGTACATAAACGGTGACTTTTGATGCCAATGATTCATCACTTAATCTGACTCTGCGTAATCAATTTGCCATCAAGGTTATCAGATACAAACTCTACGCAAATTTGTCGGAAGCAATGAGTGGTGAGGGTGAAAGTGGTCTGTTGGCATGTGTAAAACCAGGCCAAGATGGAGGTCAAAATGAGGGCACGATTGAAGAGTTCAAGCTAGTTCAGACTATGAACAGAGGAGGAGGAGAGGCGACCTCATCGGAACAATCTGCGAGCAGGCAGAATGCAAACATTAACCAAGGAAAAACTCAACTGAAGGTCAAAGTAACAGCAAACGACAGATCAACCGGGAAAAACACCTGAATAAAAAAACAGACTTTGAAAATGATTGCGTATGTTAATAAATGAGTACGCTGATGCTTTAAAATCAAAATTAAATTCGAAAATTGATTCTGTGGAAGTTGGTTTTGAATATAGAAACAAAAAAGCGTATCTTTAAAAGACTGTCAGGACTTTGAATCTGAAAAACCGCAAGCGATTGATTTTCATGCAAACTGCGCTGATATTGAAATTTTTCCCGAAACACCAAGATTTTACATTAATTGTTTGTGGATACTGGCACATGAAAGACAGTCATAGTAAATTGACTTTTTTGGCATTTAATTAGTCTTTTACGAGCAATTTAAAAGACAATCCAAGTCATGGGAGTCAATTCTTAAACGAAAATTTTAATGAAAACAAACAAAAACAATCTGATTATTAAAATTTTGATAAAAATTTGAAAATGACACAAGCAACTTGAAACAAAATGCGAAACAAAAAGGAATCCGAATCACGGGAAACAAAAAAAAATACACTGATTCTACTGGAAACTATTGAGTAACCTGCGCATTTATCTATTTATGCATATAGTAAGAAAGATAGTCGACTGCTACGACAGTAGCACAGAATGGTTCAACCAAACTGGTCAAAGAAAAACCAAAAAGAAAAGAAAAACTTAAAATCGAATAAAATCGATTTCTTTCTTTTATTTTGGCCAAAAACTTTACTGTTTTTTTTTTTGTTTTCAAGGAGCCTGATAAAAAAAACTTACAAACAAAAAAATCAAAAGCAAATGTAATGCCTACTTTTTAGACACAGAGAGGAAGCGGAGCTTCCATCTCTTGCATTACAACAAAAAATGGCACATCAGCTAGCCCAAAAAAGGTCGCAAGCTTAGTACAAAAAATTTTAAAGAAAATCATTTAAAAATTGATTTTTTCAACGTTTGTCTGGAAGGCGAGTAAATTTATGGAAAAATTGCCTATGTTAAATAAACATTAAAAACTAAAGTCACGCGGACACTGAGCGGACAAAAATTGGTAAGACGACTGTTGAGCTGAACAAAAAAAGTCAAAGTTGAGCTCAAAACATTTTGAGCCAAAAAAATTACTTGAGTTTTACGCCTACACTTACCCTTCCGTAAAGACAAAAAAATTAAAAAAATTTTGGTTCTTCAAACAACAAACTATTAGGCAACTGAACAGATATGCATCAGCCGAAACCATTTAAGCCAAAAAAAAACATTTAAGTGAAAAAAAACGGAAAATAAATAGCGAAAAAACAAAACTAAAAACAAGAGTTGATTTACAACGAACAATAAAAATTCTAATGGACCGGCCATTCAAAAGGCAGACATGTTCAAAAAAAAATTCAGTTGACAGACATCCTATTCTGTTGCTATAAAAACAGCCGAGCTGATTCAACTGATTTCGTTAAGCTAGTTGTAAACCCGAAAAAAATTCTATATTTCAGTTTGATAACGCTCGCTAATGGCAAGCATACTAAACAAAATGTGGGGACCGACTTTTTACCAGACCGAATTTTTACCAGAAAAGTTATAACATGGACCTTTTACCAGACTCGATAAACTAATTTGGTTGACAGATGCAATGAAGCCGTTTAGTCTGGTTAGAAATAATGATTTCACGGTTTCTCAACCAAGTTTTGTGTGTTCTAGCCGCTTCCTTTTCAAATCTTCCACTAATTTTATTCTATACTAATTGAGTTATTACATTGTGGTCTGGTAAAAGGTCGGTCTAGTGAAAGACCTAGTCCCACAAAATGTAAAGCCAGAATTCAACCCTGTAAACATTTATCTAACTTATTCTGAAAAACGAACGAACGAGTAGTTCCTTAACACTATGGCACCAATTTTGAATGTTTTTTTTTGAAAATCCAAATCATTACAAAAGATGCTTTAATATGTTACCTGATTGCAGCTTAACCCTTCGTTCTTTACTTTGAGGCAGTCAAACTCGGAAAGAAAACATACACCCTATTCCATAGTTCTTTCCCACCCAAGGGGTTGATCACACTAAAAAAACTTTGTTCAAGGGTGTTCGTGCCTGCTACCAGGGGCGGATTTAGGGGGGCGGGGGGCGGACGCCCCCTCTCAGGGATTCGGCCCCCTGCCGACCCAAAGGGTCCCCTCTTTGGTACTTTTAAGAAATCCAGTTTTGGCCGACCAACCCTAAAATTTTTCTAAAGGCGCCTTAGGCGCCAATATATACTAAATTTAAGGGGGGAGCGCGCGCCGAAAAAACGCGAGAAAAAGCGACCTAAAAATGCCTTTTTTGGACTGTTTTTTCAAAATTTTGCCTGCGGCGCAGAAAATTTGGCCATAATAGGGACTAAACAGGCTTAGGGAGAGCTCGAAAAATCAAATCGGTCGACCTAAAAAAAAAAAAGTCGACAAAAATTTCGAATTTTTTTTTTGAAAATCCGCACCCCCCCTCGAGAAAATCCGAGATCCGCCCCTGCCTGCTACCCCACTCTTCCTCGGATATTAATCGTACGATCAAACAATCGGGAGTAGGAAATGAGCTGCGTGATTTTTCTAATTTCTCCTGAAATTTCTGGGTGAAAAAGGCTGAAAATCAAACTCAACAACTTCCATTTTTTAGTTGCATGCGAGCTCCAAAAAAACTGCATCTCTATGACTAACTTATTTCAAATAAAGCTACCTGTAATCAATGACAGTGAAAGTTTCTGAAGCACTTAATTTGAGAAAAATGACAAATTTCGATAAGATTGCTTTTATTCTGATAAACAAAGAACCATTTTTGACCGTGATTCATCTTACTCTGACCATCCTTCGCTTTTATAACCGCTTCACGTATTCTTGTTTATTCGTTCACGATTGTTTATCAAAAATTTAATTCAAACGCAGCCATGACGCACCAAGAAGTTTTCCAAATATAACTTTTTCACCAAAAACAATTAAAATTAGGTTCAGTTAAGTTGAACTCGGATAAATTGGTGCAAAATAATACAAAAAGAGGGCTGATTTATCCCTTTCAATACAAGATATATCCAATTAGTTTGGATCTTGCTCTCGTATTTCAGAACTCCAAACTGCAAGGGCATTTAAGTGATTTTAGGAGAACTGAGAAATCGATTTGGTTGACGTAGGAAAATTAGGTCATTATTTTCAAAAAAATTACTTAAAATCCGCTTAGAAGCCAGGTTGGATTGCAGTTATTTCAAATGATGATTTGTGTAATTGTGACACATGTTAACTTCGACTTTAGGGTAAATTGAAAAAACTCCTATGCACTTTTAAAAACAATCTGCTTTTATTATATAATTACAAATGAGCCCAAAAAAACAATTTTTCGATGACGCGCTTTTTTTCGAAAACGCGATTTTTTTGCTCAAAACCGTACAAAATGTGCCTTCATTTCTATATAATCATAATAAACTATCTTAAAATCGATTTGTGTAACTTGAGGCATTTTGAGAGATCATCAGATCTTTCGATCTCTCGAGTGACTTCTGCTCCTGGCAATTAATCGACATAACAGTCCTATCTCATTTTTAGATCTATGTTAATTTCCAGAAAATAACTAAGTGAAAGGATTTTTCAAGAAATAATTTTTCTTTTTGTGTATTAATTAAAAAAGATGAGATAAGTGTACAAAACTGAGGCTTGACAAACAAAATACACATTTTACCAGAAAATTATAATTAATTGATCATTGCCTTAAATATAGTTATCTCAGAATTCGTTGTCGTTTTGAAGTTTTTTTTCAAAAAGTTGCCTGCGGCACTTAAGTTTTTCTCAAATCAGAATCTTGATAGTGATCCTCCCTCTCCTCGAAAATTTCGAGATCCTCGCGTGATTAAAAAGTCATGATTTGAGATGGCGTCTCAAACAGTGGTCTCTAGAGAAACTTTATGTAAAATACATCAAACGAGCGTTGATTTTTGCACAGCAGCAACTACTTAACGTAAGTCAAACTAAATGGTTCGAACTCAACCGATATTCAAGATTCTTTATATAAAACTCAACGGATATTCAAGATTCTTCAGATAATTATTTTGCGAACAATGAATGATTTTTTATATATTTTATAATATAAACTTTGCAGTCTTATTTGTTGTGTTTTTTTAAAGACCGTCCAACAACGCAAAACCATCAACATAATTATGATCAAAATGTAATAATTTATTCCATCGAGCGTGGACAGTCATAAATTCATAGTTGAACCAATCATCAATCTTTTTGCCCGATAGAAAAATGGCTTCTAATAAAATATTGTTTGATTTAAAAGAAGGCAACAAAGATCCGCTGAAAATTTTGCGCCAAAGAATGTTTGAGTGTTTGAAGCAAACGAACTCCGTCGAACTTTTGAAATCATTGATCTCTAGAGCTCAGGCTATCGATCCCAGCTTCAAAATCCAATTTCGAGACTCTTTCGGATTCTCTGTTCTGGGAAACGCGATCAATCTCCATCAAATGCCTCTGATTAAATTCCTCGTTGAAAAATGCGACTTCTTCGTCAAAGAAGAGTTAATTTATGCTGTTGATATTGGTTACAAAGAGGCCGTAGATTATCTTATAACATGGGATCCCGAGCTCCTCAACAGACCAGTGTTGACTGGAACGACATACAAACCGGGAGTTTCTCCCGTTATGATTGCCGCAATGAACGAAAACGAGCAGATGTTGAAATTTTTATTTTCGCGCGGCGCAGTTCCGTTGGAAATTCCGAATTACGACCCGACCGAATCGAGAAACATTATTCGTTTCGACGCCATCTACCAAACAGTTCACGCACTCTCTCAGCCGGTGTATTTGTGTATTATGAACGAAGACCCGATCATGGTTGCCTTCAAAATATCCGAAGTGAGTTCAAAACGTTTAACGTCAGACTTTTGTATTCGCAATTGTTTGTACGGTCACATTTATTAAAAACAATGCGAACTAAAAATAACATAATAACTTAAATACTTTTTTTACACTTTCTAGTTGCGAAATATAAGAAGCAAAATCGCCAATTGTTATGAAGGACAGGGAGGTCGGTTATTTCAAGTCCTACAACCTTTGTTCCGGATATGATCTTAACTCGTGCTGCGATGACCATATTATGCAACCCATAAAAACTTATTGAGAATAATTTGCAGCATATAACTAAACTAGACTCTCGTGCTAGATTCGGTTATGGTTGGCATATAAATACGGGAAAAACGCAGATTGTATTTGGTCAAAAAATGCGTCGTAACTAACATCACGACAACTACAAAAAGTGTGAGGAAACTCAGGCATGGGAGGACATTTCAGATCAATTTTAGGTAATTTGAAGAACACAAAAAGTATTTTAATTAACTTCATTCAGATTTAAAAAAAACGGTCAGTACTTAGTTATTCAGAGTCAAACTCCAACTTTCCGCTGCTGATCTGAAAGCAGAGAAGATCTGGCTTTCAATTTAAAGTCAAAACTGATTCAACTTCTTTCAGCTTACTTATTTACTTAGGCCTTTATACTCCTGGTGAGGCATATGCCATCAACGACTACCCTCCTGTGATACTGCTACTGCAATAGCAGTAATGATGATGTAACCATAACCTTCAGTGTTATAATTAGTTTATTATGATAAGTGTCCAAAGTCATTTAGATCTGAGACTTTTGGTACACAGCGGAGAGTTCAGAGTATGAACTAGAGAACCGCTCTCAGTAACTAAAACAACCAACAAGAAAAACTATTTATTACGATCAAGATAATACATTCTTGAATTACAAATTAGACAAAATTTACAGCAAGATACCTCATAGGATATCACATGGCGCAGCCAGCAGGATTCTCAGCTCAGGACAGCCGTACTGATATGGGAATACCAGTATTTTGGGCGTCAGCCAATCTAGACCCACCGTGTCAATTCAAGATCTGGTTAGAACAATTTCTAATGGCTGTAACAGTGAAAGAAAATGTCAACCCAGAAGTTATGCTGGAGGACCCAAAAGACATACTGGAAGAACCACCATCAAGACCAGAGACACCACGCGCGGGAGAAGATGAAACTGCGATAACAGCCAGAAACCTCAGAGATAAATTAGCAAGAGATCAAGTTATGCTGGAGAATGAGGAGAAGAGAACACGTGGTCCAAGGGGTGGTCACAATGTTTATTATAATGAGGTACAAAAGAAGCTTGTATCCAGATTATTCCTCTCTCTAGGAACAGAAGTAAAGAAAAGATTTCAACAGAAAAACCCACATGCTGAAATTTCCGAAATGTTATTCAAGGAAATCACGAATTTAGCATCGACTTCATTCCAAAACGTCAAATATGTAACGTATGAAAGATACAAACTCTTTACTAGACTGCAAGAACCAGGGGAAAAGTTGGAAGCATTCCATGAGGCGTTAACTGCTCAAGCAGCACGATCGGAGTTAGAAAATCTTGAAAATGAAATTGTTCGAGATTTATTCGCATCTAAAATGAAAAAGTTGACGTTGCAGGACACTCTAACGTTTGAAACACTTGAGCCCGAGGAAGTACTCAAGAGAGCCATAAAAGTTGAACATAGTAAATGGACCACAAGGGCGTTCCAAAAGACGAATGCAGCAACAGTGGCAGGAATGAGTACTAGTTACAATTCAGGAGTGAAGATAAAACAAGAACCAGTGATGGCAGTACGAAACTCGAATGGGAAAACAAGAAAACATTAGTACAAGAGGGAAAACAAAAAACGACAAAACAACATTAGACCAAATAATTCCGGTGGTTAAGCAAAACCATGCAAAAGATGTGGACGCGCATTTGATCAGGGACACCTGAAAACCTGCATGGCAATGAGTAAAACTTGTAAAACCCAATCGATTCGCGAAAATGTGTAGGTCTCAGCAAGTGATTGAAGTTATGGAAGATTCGGAAAGATCAGAAGAGGGATGCAATCTCATAAGAGAAGACTTCGGATCATGTAGTGAACTCGAAATGATGTCAATGCAACCACATTTATCAGAAGGGGCACGAATCTCAAGATATGTGGGAGAAAAGATCAAGGAGAGAATCCAACAATTGTTGGGACAAAGGGTGAGCATCCAAAAAATTGACCTAATTAGAGATCCAACGTCCTATAAAATAAAATCGCTAAAGGCTATGGTACGAAAAGAAAGTCAAACAATTCAATTGACAGCAGATACGGGAACTCCAGTATCTTTTCTAAATTGAGCGACGACAAAGGAAATCATTGAAAAATCAAAAATGGCACGATGTAAACCGGCCGAAAAACTAACCTTGGCTACACAATTCGTAGATTACAATAAACAACCGATCTATGTTCTGGGGGCGTTAAAGATAAATCTGCGATCTGCGGGTTGGGAAGTAAAAGGTGCCAAGTTCTTAGTGACGGAACGCAAGACTGGATGCATAATGGGCATGGATCTACAAGGACAGGTGGTGATCTCGACCACACAGAAACCAGCCCGAAAAAAAACTGTCAAGGTTTGACGTGCTCATGTGCGAGCAGTTGGAAGGTTGGAAAAACAAACTCTTAACAAAATTTAACGATTAGTTTTTAAGAAAGGGGATCTCAAACCACATAGTGAGCTCAAAATTCAAATATCCTTTGTGCACAATTCAGGAAAAAGGGAGAATAATATCAATTCATATACAAGACAAGGTAGAAAAAGAAATTGAAAAACTACTGACAGAGGGTCACAAAACTAAGTTGGATAAAACCACAAGTGATTGTTTCATAGCTCCAATTGTAATAACAGTAGAAAAAGGTGATTCGATAAAATTGGCACATGATGCAAAATCAATGAACAGACAACTTTTCAAAAACATGTATCAGATGCGTAACGTGGACGAGCTTATTGATGGGGTAAGTCAGATTGTCACAGATAAGAAAGAGGGCACACTCTACTTCACAGTGTTAGACCTAAAATATGCGTATAGTCAGTTAAAACTCGCTGCAGACACAGCGAGACAGTGTAAATTCAATATCGTCGGGGGAAACGCAACAGGAACGTATCGGTTCCTCACAGGGTTTTATAGTCTGGCTGACATGCCGGCCGAGTTTCAAAAAGCCATGGAGCGACCGATCAAGCACTCAAAAAATATCTTTTGTTTCCTAGACGATATCCTCATTGTGTCAAAAGGAAACGAAACAGAACACGAATAATTAGTAGAGAAGGTACTAAAAAGTTTGAATGATGAAAATCTAGCGTTGAAGGTATCAAAATGTGAATTCTTCGAAAATCAAGTTGACTGGCTAGGCCATCACCTTTCGGAATCGGAGGTTACACCTAAATTCACAAAAACAGAAGCCATTCAAAATGTTAACCCACCTAAATCACTTAAGTAGTTAAGATCTTTTCTGGGTAGTATTCATCCCAAACGCAGCAAGTTTAGCAGATGAACTTCGTCCACTCCTTAAAGAGGAAGACCAAAAGAAAAAGTTAAAGAAAATGAAACTACCAGTAAAAAAAACTCGAGGGTGGGGATGAACACACAGTAGAGTTTGACACGATAGAAAGCGCAGTAGCTAACATTTCCAAAGTACATTACTACGATGCAAACCGGGATACAAGGGTTAAATTCGATGCAAGCCATAACGGCTTGGGGGCCACACTCGAACAACAGACTGACGATGGGTTGTGGGCTCCAATTTCGTTTGCATGAAGGTACCCAAATTCACAAAAAAATATTCAACACACGAACTAGAGTTACTTGCAGTTGTTTGGGCAGTTGACAGATACAAACACTACCTACTCGGGAAGGAGTTTACCATTTCAACGGATCATAAACACTTAACTTCAGCCCTGGATGGGAACAAACCAAACAAAAAATGTATCAATCACGGTTGATCCGATGGGTCAATCAGTTATTGCCCTAACAATTTAAAATTGTTCACATTCCAGGGAGGAACATGGGGATTGTCGATTATTTATCGCGTTATCCGTATAATGCTCCCTGGCCCGAAACAAAATAAGACGAAAAATTTGTGGTAGCAACAATTATTTCCTTTCACAAAGCTTCAGAATTGCTTAAACAGTAGGCTAGAAAACACCTGTTCGCTCAACCAGAACGAAAATATTCTAGAATTTTCTAGAAAGAAATGTAGCGAATAATCCATCACCTCGTGGTTGCTATGGCAACCAAAAAACGGTCAAAAACGAGCAAAGCTCGACCGGAACGAAATAAATGAACTTTCGCGACCATCCAAACAGCTAAACAGCAGTTCGCAAACAAAACAAATTATTTTCTCTTCATTTCAACCCAGCAAAAATTCGAGCAATAAAATTGCAAAAACAGTACAAAATTCAACGAAAAATAATACAGAAACAGACTCACGGAAGGAGATGTCAGAAAGAAACTTTAACCGACCATTGGACTGGTGGTTGGACACACCATAGGGATGGCGAAGCGAGGACAGAGAATAGAGCATTCTATACCCGAGGTGGATCGATCAATGAACAACGCAATTTAACTGTCAAAAGAAGAGGAGGTCACATTAACACCACAACGGACAAGGAAAACAATTAGAGGGAGCCGAAAGAATAGAAACAGCTCAGATAATGAAACAAGACACCAGTCCCGAGTAAAGTGGCAACTGTCAGAGGACCAGGAAAGAGAGGCGGACAGAAGGCGAATATCATTCTGGCAATTGATTGGGGGGTCCAGCACACCACCAAGCAGCACTCGAAAACTGGAAGCGGTGACGGAGGAGAGCGTACAAGCGCCAAAAAGCATATCACCGGCAACACCGGAAGAAAGGAAAGTGAGCGCTGTGCAGATGAGTGAAATTGACCTTACGACCACAGATGAGATGGACGAGAAATCAAAAATTTGTACTATCGAGCCATCAAGAAAACAAACACAAAGGTCACGAGATGAACAGAAGCTGCAATGGCAACCCATGGAAGACATGTTGGATAATCTTTCACAACTTTTCGACAAGAGCTGACATCAGAGTACACTTGGATGGATCGGCTCAGACAAGTAGTAGAACGAGGGGACAAACAAGGATTCGAGCTAATGGGACCATATACTAATCCTCTGTGGTCGCAGAGGGCGGTGGAAGACGACTGCATTCTGGTGGATAACAGACTGGCAGCACCAGTACAATTGCGACAGGCAGTGCTCAAAAGAATCTATCGAGGACATCCGGGCAAAAGGCCAAGCTTGGAGTCTCACAATACCTGTGGTGGCCGCATATGCACAAAGACATAGTGAATTTCGCGGAAGAATACCGTAGTTGCACCAGATATGGTAAGAACGCAAAATACCTCAAACCAAAAAATTCGTCAAAACCGCTGACACTGCTTAAGCAGCCGGGTCAAGAAGTACAATTAGATTACGCGGGACCGTTAGAAAAACACAAAGGAAAAAACATTTATCTTCTAGTAGCTATAGATCGATTCTCGAAATTTCCTTTAGTAAAAAATCACTAAATCAACGAGTGGAAAGTGTACGGTACAATTTATGCGATCTTACATAGACACACATGGCATTTCAGAATCGATACGTTCCGATCAATTCTCGGGCTTTGAAAGGAAACACTTAAAAAAATTTGTATTGACAACAATATTGAACAAGAATGCTGTCTGGTCGGCGACTATCGAGGGTGTGGACTAGTAGAATGAATTATACAAAGAATAAAGCGAAGATTGGGGGTAATGTTACTAGAGGAAAATCAACGACCGATCAAACTATGCATTAGTACAATAATTCGTGATTTACGGTGGAACAAACCGAAAACCAGTCAAGTATCTCCATTTCAGGCACACTTCCAAAAAATTCTAAATTTTAGATTCTACGCGATAAGTTTATAAGTAACTCTGACTATTTAGACAAACAGCACCTGGAACGGTCGGCATTGACGGCGTCACAGCTCAAACGGAGGATCGATCAATCCAGAGAGAACTCGAAGATCGTAAGAAAGGGAAAGCGCAGCAGAGACAACAGCCCGCTGTACAAGCAGCAACTGTACCCAGACCGAGACCGCCAACGAGCGAAAGCACTAAAAGAGCTGTCGGAGGCGAACGCTCAGTGGAATGAGGAGCGTAAAGATGCAGCGAAAAACGACATCAGAAGACTAGTGGACACAACTGGACAGTCAAACCCTTGAGCTCCGGAAAGAGGTTATTTAGTCATGGGAGAAGGGATTCATCGAAGATAAAGAAGACGAACCTTCACATTCTCCGGAAAAAAACGATTCTACGTAAAAACGACTTATGGAAGCGGGCAAGCACTCATGAAGCCGGTAAAAGGAAAAACAACGGCGCAAACAGGATCGACAGTAAAGACTTCGGCAGGATCGATATACCGGAAAACAGACATTTCACAAGCGATATCAATCTACCGCAGGACCAGACTTAGGGAGCAGGAAAAAAGCCCGTCAGCAGAGCCACGCAAGAAGTTGCAGAAGATCAGTTCTCCCAAAAAGTTGGAGGAAACCGATTCTGATGAAGAACTGCGACGGCAGGTGGAGCTGGCGGACTTTGTAAACCCAGTAGAACGGTTTCAACAAAGCCAAACCATAGTAACTTCTAAAGACACCGAATCAGGGGGAGGCTTAAGCCTCGCCATCAAGAGAACCTTCAGTGTTATAATTAGTTTATTATGATAAGTGTCCAAGGTCATTTAGATCTGAGACTTTTGGTACACAGCGGAGAGTTCAGAGTATGTACTAGAGAACCACTCTCAGTAACTAAAAAAACCAACAAGAAAAACTATTTATTACGATCAAGATAATGCATTCTTGAAATTAATTTTACAACAAGATACCTCGTAGGATATCACAACTTCATCGTCCTCGATCCTGGGCGATTTGCTCCAGTTTCCTCCAGGTGTGACCTGTCTGCTTGACGTCGGCCTCCAGGACCCTTCTCCACGTGTTCTTCGGTCTCTTTCGTTTTCTCTTGTCCTGGGAATTCCATATCAGGGCCTGGCAGGTGATGTTGAATGTTGGTTTCCGCAATGTGTGGCCAATCCAACCCCATCTTCTCCTCCTGATCTCTTCCTCCACTGGCACTTGGTTTGTTCTTTCCCAAAGACTCGCGTTGCTGATGGTATCCAGCCAGTGGATCTTGAGGTTTATTCTTAGACAGGAGTTGATGAACGTTTGCACCCTCTTGGTGGTGGTTTTTGTTGTTCGCCATGTTTCCGCTCCGTACATCATGTTCGAGTTAAATAGGCGGATTTTGGTGCGTGTTTGATGAGGTGTGATCTCCAGATGTTCTTGAGGGTGATGAAGGATACTCTTTCTTTTTCGATGCGGGTTTTCACGTCTGCGTCAGTTCCTCCCTGTTCGTTCACTACGCTTCCTAGATATGTGAAGGTCTCGACTTCTTCCAGGTTGTTGTCACCTAGATTTACTGGCTCAGTGCTAGTAGAGTTGGTTTTCAAGATCTTGGTCTTGTGGGGGTGGATTTGCAGGCCTACTTGGGAAGCGTTGGCGGCTAGACTTGACGTTTTCTCCTGCATCTGCTGACGACTGTGTGAGAGTAGGGCGAGGTCTTCGGGGAAGTCCAAGTCGTCTAACTGAGTCCAGAGGGTCCACTGGATGCCATTCTCCGTTCCTTCTGTCGTCTGCTTCATCACCCAGTCTATGGCGAGCAGGAACCGAAACGGTGATAAGAGGCAGCCTTGACTGAACTCTCGCTACAGAAGCATCAACGAATACTTACGAAACTCCAGTCACGGGAGAGGAAGGTCCTGCACCTGCAGGGAGGATGACGCACTGGGGCCAAAGCCGAAAGGGAGCTTCAGTGCCGATAGCCCTCCTTTCAACCAGGGCGACCACAACCATCAAGACCATGTACTAGGCCGGGAAAGCAGCACAAGTGGCGGCTGAGATGCGCAGATACAACATCACCCTGCTTGGACTGAGGGAGACAAGATGGCTGCAAGCTGAACAATATAAACTGGCCACAGGAGAACTCTTGTTATACTCAGGACACGAAGACGAAAAGGCAACGCATACAGAAGGCGTAGCATTCAAGCTTTCTAAGACAGCACACTTTCTTTCTTTCTTTCAGCTATTAGGACTTAAATTCTGAAGCTTAATTGCCATCCCTAACAAAACCCATAACACAACTGAAAACTACGAGAAAAATATGAGAAAAAAATCACAAAAACAAAAAGACACTTCGCTATCAGATAAACATAGCATTACAAGCTAGCAGACAGAAAATGGAATGAAAGACATTAAGTCGAAAAAAACTAAAAAAATGTCAATCTATAAAAACTTCCAAACAGGGACGTTCATTTTGAAAAGAAAACCTCCACAAACAAAACCGTCGCCGGTGAATGATTATTTAAAATCTTCAGCTAGCGGCATCTAAGCCGACACCACTTGGGTAAACGCCCGTTGAGCCGAAAACAAAAAATCAGTTGTCATGAATAACTTTGAGCTGTGAAACTCTGAAGTTCAAATTTTTCCCACTTCAAAAACACACAAAAGAATAAAAACCTATTTTACCTTTCAAAACTACGCTACTGAGTTGATTCACATGCTGTCCAAATTATCTAATTATTTGGAAAATTAAATGCTTACGTTTTTTTTCCTGGCCAAAATTCCCAATAAAAAAATCAATTGAAAAATGTTTTATTTTGTTCAGTCGTGCGAGCGAATATCACTATACATTGACGTGGCCAAGAAGGATTTCTCAGACATTCGGGACAGGTGTGAACAATTTGCAGCAGACTTCATCAAACACGTGACCACTTTTGACGAGTTACAGCTGATTCTGAGCCAAATGACGGCCACAGAAGAACACATAGTAGCTCCTGGCGAGCCTTGGGAACGTCTCCGATACGCAATGACGAACAATCACCGCAAATTCGTAGCTAACAGTAGTGTTCAAAAGCTGATAAAGAAAAAGTTCTTCGAGGGACCGTTGGCTCTTCAAGATTTCGAGTCTTCTCATATTCTAAAACGCGTGCTTTTTGTATTTTTTCTGTCTCTGTTGACACCTATCTGGATATTTTTCAACTTGCTGGTGCCTGAGCAGAAGAGTTCGGCAGGAAACTGGATTAACAGCTTCGTGGAGATGCCACTGATGCGCTTCATAGTGCAAATCGTGTTCTATGTGCTTGTCGTTTTCATGACTGTAGCAAACACAGTTTCCTGGAACGCTTTCGACACTGGAACCATCTATCGACTCGGCGAAGATTACTTGTGGTTCTGGGAATACGCAGATTTCTATGCCGATTACCTTATGGAAATACTTAATTTCTATTACGATTATACCTACTATTATATTGATGTTATTGTAGAGTCTTACAATGAATATTTTAATAATCTTGGCAAATTAACTCTGCAACGCGTAGAGAGTCTTTATCAGTCGACAGTAACTGACGACTGGTTCTCCTATCTAACTGATGCCTACATATCTCTGTGGACTTTCGGTAACGTAGTCTCAGAAATGGTGGATATCTGGTCCAACGGGTTCCGCTCCTATTCTTCCGACTGGGTGAACCGTCTCAACTTCTTCTTGAACTTCACTTTCATGCTCAGTATTTTTCTCAAGTACAGTTACATTATCAAGCAAGGTGGCTACTACCCCCCGGGTCTCTACAGTCACAACTTTGCCCACCCCCTCGACGTAGCCGAAGTATGTCGTAGTCTAGGTATGCTCTTCCTCATTTTCAAAGTTTTCAAGCTCGGGCGAGTCACTGAAGTCATCGGAAAGCCACAACACTTTCTTGGATGCGCGTTTTCAAGTGGCGCAAAATTCTTTGCCATTTTTCTCTGTGCTTTGGTTGGATTTTCGGTCGCTCAAAATGGAATTATTCACAACACGTACAAAGAGTATTTCAAAAACTGCCTACTTGAGAAAGGTCAAGGTGTTAACGTCCAGTGTGTTTTACGATTGATGCGACCCCACGGAGATGAACTTCCAATCTTCAATGTTATGGACGGGTACCAGTCTCTGGCAAAAGTGTGGGGAGATCTGTTGTTCACGCTTTTCAAACCAGACAATCGTTTGGCCAACATGTTTCCACGCTTCGAAAACCCACAAGAGTGGGTTCTAATGGCGGTTTACACAATTTACGCGTTCTGTTTGGTAGTCGTCGGCTTAAACCTACTCAAATCTCTTATAATAAGCGCCGTTCTCGGCGCTCTGAAACGCGAGAACGAGATGTATTTGTTCCGAAGGACAATGCATTACTTCAATTTCATTTCGGGTCAAAATGTGATGCCGCCGCCATTCAACGTGTTTCCCAGTGTTCGGCAGATCCGACGCGCTTTCGACTCCGTTAATGCACGACGTGGCGAGAAAAAATCGAAAATATTTTCAGAAGATGAGTTAAATGAGATCGTGAAAATACGATCACTGATGCAGCGATTAAAGAACACTTACATGCGCGAGTACAAGAAATCGAGTCGGGCAGTTCCAACTAACAGCGAAGACATGGAAATGTTCAAGAACAAAGTTTTTTCGAGAGCCGACAAGTTAGTACATGACGTCACCCTACTTCAGACTCGGACTCAAGATCTTATCAGCGTCGGAGGAAAACACAAATCAATTTTGAATGGAGGCCCTAACTCAGATATTGTGACAGAAACCATTGCAAACAACTCCTACTTGCAGAAGTACCCGAAAAAATACAAAAACTTTCAGGGAGCGCTGAATGCTTTAGTCAAGAAAAAATAATAAATTAAGTTTTAAGAACTATTATTTTAATATCTAGAGGCAAAGCAGAGCTTGGCTTAAACAACGGATGACTATGATTACGTGCAGATGACTCGACAAATCAAAAATTAAAAAAAAAAGTTCCAAGCCTCATTTTTGTTCCAAAAATTATAACAATTTCAAAAAAAAAATCCGAAAAATATTGGAGCTCAATTAACTGCATAATTAGAAATTTAACAAATACAATGAAAAGCTGCACCTTCAAAAAAGTCTATTCTATCAGAACTAAGCCGATAGAAATAAGCAGGCAGATAGACGATCGTCTACATTAGCCGAAGAGTGATTCATGAACTTGAACTTATAACAGAGCAAGTAAAACAAAGTTTTCTGTGATCGAAGTGATTGACCGAGAAAAATCTAGAACCTAGCTAGACCCCTGCTTGTCTTCAGGGTAGTCATTATCGAGCAATCAGGATCCAGTTGAGGGGGATCAGAGACCTGTTCTTTTTATTCGTAAAATAGCTATAGCATCCTAGTTGCCTCATAAAAAAGTGATTTTTTTGAACAAATTTTAGTGGATTACTCATGAATGCAACAGCAAAATGTTCAAAAAAACTTTTAAAATGTTAAAAAGGTTTAAAAAACACAACAAGTGACTTTCGACAAAAAAGTGACCAAAAAGTGACAAAGTGACTAGTCGCTCAAAAAGTGACAATCACGTTTTTTGATTGAGAGCTTACAAGAACGTTTGAAAACAGACAAGTATCAGGTAATACTACATCAAAAATTTCGCCTAACTAAAAGCAGAAGCATTTACAAAGATATCCACAACTTATGGATGATTTTTAAAAACCCAATTACTTGGAACTCTTCTCTAATCTGAAACAAATATTGTTCAAATTTCTTTTTAAAAATCTTTCTTCAAGAAGTTCGATGCAAGAAAACAAAGCTCTACAACGTAAGCAGAAGACAACTTTCAAACGGTTTCGACTTGTTTAATGCCACGAGGTGGCAAAAAAAATCGAAAATCCTTCGGAAGAAGAGTTGAAAGAGGTCGTGAAAAAAGTAAACTAGCAGCCCAACTAACAAAAATTTCTGAATAGTAGATAAGTTCGGAAGTTTTGGTCCAATTGGCACAGCAACCAAATTCTATTGTCAATTGAATGCGTTTTTCTTTGGATTTTTTAAATTCCGAATTTCTCGGAACTCTTTAATTACTCTTAAACTAATTTCGTTCAAACTTTATTTCAACAAATCTTTCTTCAATTATTCCGATGCAAGAATACAAAGCTCTGAAACGTAAGCAACTATTAAATTTCAAACGGTTGCTCTCAAGGCAAAGATAACATTATTCCATTAAAAGAAAACATTAGAATCTGATATTCTGGCAAAATGCAAGGGAGTTTCCAAACTCTGTATTAATTTGCATCTCAATTTTTATAGCATTGCATAAATCTAAATAGCCCCATAGTCTAATGCAGGACTCACGTCACGAAAAAAAAGTGTGTGAGAGAGGAGAGAGAGATGAAAGAGAGAGGAGAGAAAGAGAGATAGGCGACAGAGAGGAAACGAGACCGGGAGAGAAAGGGAAGAAAGAGAGAGAGAGGAGAGAAAGAGAGATAGAAAGAGATTTAAGCAAAAATAATCAGGCCAAAAAGATCGAATAATCTCGATATTTGAATCATCTTAATACTTGTGCTACATCAAATTGCGTTGCAAAGATACCCAAATACCGAGTTTTATCGATGTTTTGGAACCTGATCTAAACTATATTTTATGATTGGATAAATTAAATGTTTTACCAATGTAAAGTATTTAATATTAACCAATCATGATCCATCTAACTAACAACCCACTTATTTGTAAGTGCTGAAGTTACTTGTAATTTCAGCACCAGAGAGATTTGAATTTAACTTAGAAATTAGTTGGACTCTCCCGAGCACTTCAGCAGCCGCAATAAACCAGTATACCCTAGATCTATTGAGCCTAGCAGAGACTAGTTAAACAACCTGAGACTAGATAGTATAAGAGTAAGATTAGGATCGGTATTAGACTAAGAAGTTGCACGAATCTATCCGGCCGAAAATAAGATAGCGTGACGAGCAGACGGTGTACCCTATCCGAAATTACTCTATGAGTTATACACTCCAGTCATAACTCATCTGGTGCGACCATAAGTCTCGAACAAGACCTTACTAGATTAGAATTAACCAAAAATAGATTAGAAATTAGACAAAAACATTTACAAAATGTTATACGACAATAATTTAATTGAAATGTCTCTCCGACTCAATAGATCAGAGCCAATATTCCGAACCATAATAGAACTACCCGGAATTGGAAGAAGACCTCGAACCAAAGACGACATACGACAAAGTAGAAACTTGCCGTATAGTTATATGATAGTTCGGCAAAAGCCAGAACAAACTTTTATATTTCGAATACTACTTGCAATGAATTTAGATTTCCATTTGCAAACATAAAACCTTGAAGTTACTCTTCAAAATCATTTCAGGCGCTAAACAAAATTAATATTATACAATAACGATTGATAAAAAGATCTAAGATCGTTTCCCTAAAACTCTGCAGTATTATACAAAACATGTTTGAAAAATATTTATTGGAAAACAAAAATAAAAATTAGTAGCATGACAATAAATGGTTAGTAATCATAAATCATCTTGTTGTTCCAGCTTCATCAACTAAAATATAACAGCAATCATCAACTCACTAATATCACCAAAATACTAAATCTTTCCTTTACACAAATTTAAAACTTTATTAAAACTTAAAGTCACTTAATTTAAAATCAGATCATCAAGGCTTATCCTTGGATCTTAAATCATTTTCTACCTAATTAAAATCTCAAATTTGATCATCAAGGCTTATCCTTGGATCAAACAGAACAATTTTGTTCTCCCCCACCCACTTAATTAGTGTCTAACGACCTCAAACGTCGATTCACTACCCAACCCTTTCTAAAGACCCAAGACTAATAGAAATTTTTAAACAAAACTAATCATTCAAATTAGGATAAACAGTGAAGAACTTCGGTTATTCATCCTTCACTTGATCCCCCCTCTTACCAGACCCAGGATAAATCTTAGACTTAGTAAGTTTAAAATAGTATCTAACGAACTACTCGCGTTCTAATTATACCTGAACCTTGTGGATCGATTTACTATTCTCCAACCCTTGAACACAATCACTACCCCTAAGTAAGATTAAGTAAGTTAACACCTTAGCTTATACTAGTCACGAGAAAGTAAAAATCATTCTTCGGAATCGATATACTTTTCTCTCCAACCCTGAACAAATAGACCCAGGTTAAGCTAACCAAAAAATCGTAAGAACTAACAGTTTAAGAAAATAGAAATCATTTAACAACTTTTTGCATCCGTCATTCTAAACCTTATGTCATTTAAAAACCTAGGAAATAAACAAACAATCATTTTACACAATTGTGAAATAGATAACAAAAAATACGACCTTGTAATCACACCTCATACACAAACAGTTGGATACATTCGAACAAAACGACAAACACTGAAGAGAAAAATAATAACTAAACAAAGACAAATAACACGAAAAAGATTTTCAAAAAATCGAAACGCATTTTCAGAATCAGAAACCAACAGTTTAGACGAACTTTACAAACTAAAAGAATCAATAGATAAAAATTGCCCACTTCACGATCAATTATATTTTTCTGACTCAGAAACAACTTCAAATTCATCACAAAGAGGAAAAAGAAGAATAAAAAAACAGTACAAACACAAACCAGTACATCTATACAATTGGAATCAACCAATTCGACACATTAATAATTACATATTAACAGTCATCGAACGGAAAAATGAGTTCAACACACACCCCAGGTGACGAAACTCCAGATGACGATGAAATCTTTCCTTTTATAGTAGATGCAGATACTGATAGAGGACAACACATATTTTGTCAAAATTTACTCGTAAACTTATTTGAACCCGGAATCAGTCCATGTAAAACAGAGTTCCCCGATGTAAAAATCAAAAGACAAATCATAGATCACTACTTAAAAGATATATGCAACATAACACAACAGTATGGAATCTACTCCATAGAATTCACTTCCCCAAACCATAATAATAGAACATATACTATTCAAACAGACGATCTTGATTTAGAATTTTCAAAAGTTTTTTCAGAATATATAAAAAGCATCCAATACCATAACTCACAAAGAGCAAACTCCATATTCACCAATGAAGTTTTCGCAATAATATATAGTTATATTTCGATATTAGAAAATGAACTCCCACTAACAAATGTCTCACCGACAGAAACATCCAAACATTTGAAAGTACGACACGAAATTACACTACTCTCTAGTTATTTAAACATCATTAAAGAAAATTTCACGAAAGACGACGTTTCACAACATACCAAACACGATTTACAAAAAATTTTGGCATGGTTCATAATAGATTATTTCACACACAATATTGATTTAATTGCACAAACAAGAAAAAATTTTCGACCCCAAAATTCGAACGATGATACCGCTATCACAGAACAATCAGATTATGTTTGGGACCCCGAATGGTCTCATCCCGCATTTATAAGCTTTCCACAATCAATCTCAAGTCAAGCAATAGGTACAATATCTTACATAAGAGATTATGTAAGAGTAATACCATTAACAATTGATGCAACACCATTAAACTATAATACATTTTTACCCGATACACAAAATAATAGTTTAAACTCGACAGTCATACACAACGAAAACCTCAAGGGAACTAGGAATCTTACTCAACAAGATATCCAGACACCATCACACTTCATAAATGAAGAAATTGTACACACAACAACTACACAACAAAGTATTTCACCAATACGCCCAAATTTAACAACACCAAGAAATACAAATCCTTCACAAACACAGGTAACCTTACAATCAACCGTTAAACCTTCGGTTGCCCCTAAATATTCACATATGGATTACCAAACATACAGACCCATGACAATACCATCAAAAACACGCAAAACATTCACTAGAAACAACTTTGCAGACCATAATTATAATTATACACATCCATCTATAGATATTCACATAGATATTCAT